CCCCGGCCGGCGGCCCCATGAGGAACGGGGGCAGCGGGTACACGCGGTTCCAAGACAGAGGCGTGTGACGCGGCACTCGAGGCGCTGCCGCTGCCAGGTGAGGTGCCCCGAGCCTGACGCGTTTCCCTCGGGCAGGGGCCGTTGCTCATGGGCATCCCTGTCTCTGCCCCTGAATCCAGGAGGGAGTCCCTTTGGCTCGAGACCATGCCTGAGCCTGGGGGGTTGCCCGTGGGCAGGGCACCGGCTCCGCTGCTTGCCCCCTGCCAGCTCCCTGCGGCAGGGGAAGAACAGGGCAGGGAGGGTGGGGAGATGGGGCTTTGCTGTCACAGCTCATTCTTCCAGCAAGGGACCCTGCATCCCTCCCACGGCCCCTCACCCTGGGGTGCCACCTGCCCTGCCCACCCTGTGGGGGGTGGGGGGCTAGCTCTCCACACCGGGGTGTGCCCAGAGACTCGGTGCATGTTGCTGCTGGAGAGGCCGCCTCGGGCTTCCTGGCTGATGCCTGCCCCCAGCCCTTTGCTACTCGAGATCCCATGCCTGTCGCAGGCGCTGTCTCCCCGCTCGTGGCCCTGCCTCCCGCTGCACCTCCCTGTGCAGGGGGCTACGGAAGAAATGGACCAGCCTGCCCCGTGCAGGGCCCTGCCTCGGGGCACTGGCTTCCTCGGGCCGTGGCACTGATGCTTGCTCCACCGTGGCTGAGAAGGGAGAGGGCTCCTGCTCTGCAGGGTGGAGCTGGCCGGACTGGGCGGCCCCAGGGTCTCGCACAGCCAAGGGCCTTTCCCAGCCTGGGGCCCAGGGAAAAAGCCAGGCAGCGGCTGCCGGCGTGGGACAGAAGTGCACTTGTGCTGCGCGCTCCCGGAAGTGGGTGCTGCTCCCAGGGGCAGGGATGGCCGCGTGGGTACCCGAGTCCCACGGGACCCGTGGCCTGGGCAGCTTTCTCAGGCTTTGCCTGGAGATCCCTGAGGTTTCCCCCGGGCCTGTCCAGCAGCGGGGATCAGGGCTTTCCCAGGCACTTGTTTTGTTTTCCTTTTCACAAGGGGCAGGCTGTTGCAGCAGCCCCGTCTCTGGGCCAGCCCCTGCTGCCAGCGACTTCCTCTCATGCATCAGGTCACTGCTTTTGCGGGTGGAGCCTCCCCTGGTCCCCGGGCTGGCGGAGCCGAGCGCCCAGGGGGCAAAGCAAGCAGGTGCCTGGACATGGTTGTGCCAGCACATGACTGGGGGCGCGCAGGGGTGCCCTGACTCCTCGCCCGGCAGCTGGCAGGCTCCATGCCCAGGATCCAAGCCCCGAGAGGCTGCTCCTGCCCTCTGTGCTCCCCTGGCACTGAGCTGGCCGGACCTGCCTGCTGCACAGAGCTGAGGTTGGGGGTCAGCCTCGGCCTGCCCAGGTCTGACGGCCGGTGGACATCTCCCTGGAGCCCCTGCCTCTGGGCCGACTCCATCGGGGACTTCCCCTGCCTCCCCGGGGCAGTCCGGTGCTTTTGGTTCCTAAAAAAAAGCAGACCGGGAAGCTGCTGGATTTCTACAGAAACCCAGGCTGCTGTTTCGGTTCTCGGGGCACTTCCCCCTCTGCACTTTCATCCTGGCTCTGCTGGCTGTGTCCTGCTCCTGGGGCAGGGGCTGCATGGGGGATGAGCCCAGATTTCGGGCCCCGCTCCCCTTCCTCATGGGGCGCTGGGTGGTTGCACGCTCAGGTGCTCCCAGAGTGCCTGGAGCCCCATGGCCGGGCGGCGGGGGCCCGAGCTGTTCTCCCTTGCAGCACCGCGAGAGGAAGCAGGTAATTCCCCTGCAAGCTGCTAGGCAGCCCCGTGCGTGCCAGGCCTGTGCAGCACTGCCCTGCGTGTCTCCGAGTGCCGGGGCTGCTCCGGTGGGCAGCGGGGCGGCACGGTCAGACTGGCACCGGGCGTTCGGGCCCCAGGGGCAGGCAATAGAAACAAAATGCTGCCCTGGAAGGAGCGGGGAAGGTGCTGCTGAGGAAATGAGACTGCCGCACACTTCCCCCCAGGGAAGCAAACAAGCTCCTGGGGCACAAGTACGACAACACAGAGAGCGGAAGTGAGCGCGCCGCCCCCCTGCTGACTCTGCGTTTTCAGGTTCACGTTTTCGGGTCTGAGTGGGCTGCAGCTGCGGGCTGCGTGGGGCAGGGCGGCTCCCAGGGCTGGCACAGCGTCCAGCCGGGTGGGCAGCAGGGTGCAGGACTGCTCCGCATCCCACGTCCATCGGCCTCCATGTCTGCTTGGAGACCTTGAGGCCGGAGCGCCCGCTTCCCCTGCTCGTGCTGCTGTTCCTGTGGCCTCGTGCGGGCCAGGGGCAGGGGCAGGGGCAGGGGCGCCCCGCGCCCTGCCGTGTGCAGGGCAGGGGGCTGTGAGAAGTGGCTGCTTGGCCCAGACGATGCTGCTCTGCGAGCGGGTGCACCCAGGCCGGGACACCCCCGCCCCGGGCAGACAGCGCGCAGGCGGGCGCACGGGATTCCTGGGTGCTTCGTTCCAGACTGTTTTCTCCAAAGGCAGAAGCCCCCAGGCCCGCCGTGCGGCACGGCGCGTGTGCAGAAGAGGCGAGAACAAAACAGCCCGGGCCGGCCCCGGCAGGGGAGCAGCGCAGCCACAACAAAGGGGCTGGGAGCGAGGTGTGAAGTCTGCCGCCTTGCAGCTCTGCGGAGCGGGGACAACAACAGGAAGCAGAGCCGGCTGGGGAAAGGGGCACGCGGCTGCGCTGCGGGGCGCGGGGTGTCAACACGCCCACGCCTGCCCGGGGAGGGAGGGCGCAGGCGGCGGTGGGGCCGGGCCCTGCAGCGTTCCCACCTTGTCGCTGCAGGTGTTCGCAGCCTGGGCCAGGAACCAGCTCGAAGGAAGGCGGTTGCAGCCTTCCTAGATCAGGCTGGCCAGGCCTTGCGCCCTTCACCCCCTCTCCTGTCTCGCCCCGGTCCCTGGCCTGGGAGAAGCCCCGACCCTTAAGACCGTGCAGTTGTGCTGCAGAGCTGGAGGGACGGGCATCTGGTGCCTGGTCACCCCGGGAGCGGGGATGGTGCCGATGACGGGCCCTCCCCTAGCTCTCCTGGATCCAGCCCAGCACTGGGTAGAGCTGTGCTCCTGCGCTTGCATGCGCGTGCATTTGCCTGTCTGTCCTAGGCACCTAGCTCGTGTTGCTAATAGAGCTGTAGTAGCCAGGGCCGGTCCTCCTGCCACCTCTCCATCCATCCAACCGCCGTCGCCTTCGCCTTCTGCCCCTGCACCAGGCGCTGGCGTGTGGGAGGGGCGCCAGACCAAGCTACTTCCCACCCCCTCTCCTCCTTCTCGTTCCTCTCCATCACGTGCATGGTGGCTTCTCACAGGCATCCCCGTCTAGCTGCCCAGCGCACGGCAGCATTGCTGGCCGTGCCACGTTTGCACATGCCACGTTCCAGCTGGTTGACAAGAGCGAACACAACCATTTGCATGAGGAAACCAGAGGGGCTGAAAAGCAATGAGTCAGCAAGCGAGAGCAGCTCGGGGGCAGGCGCAGGCGGACACGCCAGTCCCGCTCCTGGAGGCACCGACCGTCCTACAGAAACTGGCCGCGAAGGTACAGATGGGGGGCCCGGCCAGCATGGTGCCTGATTAGATTTAGCGCTTGATGCCGAAGGTGGCAGCAAATGATGGCATCAATCAATGGCAGCTCCAAGAGGTCACTGAAGCCCGCTGGAGGCTGAAGCTTGCCGAAGTGGGAAGTTCCCGTGCATCTCCTCCCTGGCTCAAGCTATGAGCTGATGCAGAAAAATGTGTAATTATCTGGAATTTCCACTTTGAGGTTTAGTGAGTTCCTCTGTCCGTCTTGAGGAACTCGCTCCTCGGGCCGCCCTGCGCGCATGTGCGTGTGCCGGAGCCTTCTGTAAAGCTTCCACATCGTTGCAGAAATATTTAATAGAAAGAGTCTCCCAAGCACTGCAACAGCCCTGAGTCAAAGGATCATTATTTCCTACACCTGCGTCAGGCTGTGGGTTCCTCCCACCAGCACCCTCCACGCCAGGAGAGGTCAGAGCACCATGCAGGATGCGGTCCCAAGCCATGACATCAGAAGCTGGTGCAAGAAGCCACATTTAGTGTGGATGTTTCTGCTTTTCAGGGGAAGTTTGAAAAATCCCCAAAGCACCAAGCAGGGCAGCAGTGGTGGAATGGAAATGAGAGAAACGAGGTGAGGTTGGGAAAGTCGAGCTCAGGGGGGCCGGGCTCTTTCCCCCAGCCCCTCCTCGTCGCGCCCGAGCACCAAGGAGGCATCCTCCGTGATGTGTGGCAGAGAGAGCGCCTGACGCATGGGCATGGCTTTGGACAGATGTTATCTGAACCCGAGCGCCCTGAGGGGAGCCCCCCAGTGCACCCACAGCGGCAAGTCTGTCTCCACCCGGGCGCAGCCTTGCCTCTGGATTTTGCCTATGATAAAGCCCACGGTGAGTTTGTGACACTTGGGGAACTTCTCAGAAACTGCTGATGCTGCAGGGAGCCCCATCTGCCCCACGGCACATCACTTTGATGCTCCACCGCCACGTAGCAGGAGTCCTTTTCACTTGTGCCAAGCGAGTGCACATGCTTCCTGGCCAGGGGGACCGTGTTTCACCCCTGGCGCATGCACACCCCACAGCCACCGCTTTCCCGGTCCTTGCTCGCAGGACGCTCTCCACGCACTACGGTCGTTCTGTGCTGCACACATGTCGTTCAGCTGCTGCTCGACAGCGCTGTGCCCCTTCGAAGGAGAAAAGGTGCCTGGTTTGCTCCTAGTCCCCAGGCATGATTTGGAAATGATCTTTCCTGCGTGTGTTTTAAAAGCTCCAGTTTGTGCGTCTCCCAGCAGGAAGCATCCCAGCCCCCTGAAAGGGAACCCTGGGCTTTCTAGTGAGAAAGAAAAGCACCTGCATGAATGGCTAAATAAATAACCATTATAGATTTATGAATTAAATACAATAAATAACAGTTCTCTGTACAAACCAGGCAACACGTTTCACACGGGCAACAGCACGCAGCTCTCCTGGATGTGCCACCCCCATGCCCATAGCAACATGCGACAGCTGCATGGCCCTTTGCAGGCGTCACAGCCCGTGCCGGAGCAGGGAGAGGACACGCGGGGCACAAGGCCTGGTGGGTGCTGTGCCCGAGCTGCTCCGCTCACCTCCGGCAGGCCCCTGGCAGTGACATTCCCAGCGGGAGCTGGGGCAGAGTTTGGGCTGGTGTGGTTCTGGGCTCAGTGCTTCAGTTCTGGTGTCTGAGCTCCTGGGGGGCCGGGGCTAGCCCCCCTCGGCAAACAGTGCTGCCGGACCCCCCCTCTTCTACGCTCAGCTCTTGTCACTGAAGCAGAGCGGTGGGGCTGAGGCCCGGGGCTGCGCCCTGCTCTCCACACCACACTCCCTGGACTCTCGCTACGTCAGGTCATGGGGCAAGAGCAGCAATCTAGTTGCTTCAGTCTTGTACGTGGGCTTCTTGTTTCGGTTTGAGGCAACGCAGCTGCTCTGTGACCACAGTCCCCCCGCTGCTGGAAAGCAGCTGTACAGAGATCATGCTCGTGATGCAGGGCTGTTGGGGCCAAGGCGGGTGGGGAGGGCACATCCGCTTTCCATACTGGGAGCACGGAGCTCTTGAGAGCCAGGCCCTCCCAGGGGCTTTCCATGTCTCTGCACTGGAGTCCCAGGGATGGCGGAGGAACTTCCTTCTGCAAACGCAACCCCTCGGGAGTCCGGCACGCGGGGCGTCATGTCACGGGCCCTAATGCCTGTGCATGTGCAGGGGCAGGCCGGGGACAGGGCGTTCGCGATGTGACCCAGGCATGGACCTGGGTGCGTGGCCATGGGACAGCCCCCAGATGCAACCTCCCCCCCCGGATGACTTGTGCCCCACGAGCACTGTCGGGTGCGGTGCTTCCCAAGTAGGACTCGGCCCTGGCCCCTGCAGCTCCAGCCAGCCCCAGGGCAGCAAGGGGCAGGGAGCAGGGGCCTGTCCTCTGGGCTGATGGCCTGGCAGGGGCCCTGTGTCCACACATGCTTCCCTGGGTGTAGTGATGTTCTCTGCACGCCTGCGAGGGGCCCGGGAAGCTGCCTTTGGGTATCTCAGCTCTGAGGGCCCTGGGCCAGCAGCCCTGCGGTTGGCAGCCCGCGCATGGATGAGGCTGCCAACTGGACCTGCTGCAGTCCCGCCACGTCGATCAGGACCACTTGTAAACATTCAGGTGTTGGCCATAGTCGATGGCAGCAGCTGGCTCGGCGGGCAGGGCAGGGCGAAGTAGTGAGGAGGAGTCGGACTGAGAGCCCGCAGCCCCTCTGCCCGGGTGTGGGGCTCCGGCTGGTCGGGCTCAGAGGCGGCTGTCCTTGCACTCCGCGTCCAGCACGCTCAGCGGCTCGATGTCCAGGCTCAGCCACTCACCGGAGTTCAGGCTGGAGATGAGGGGCAGGGCCCCCAGCTGCCCAGTGTCAAAGATGCCCAGTTGAAATGGTGCCTTCAGCAGGTCCGGGAAGAGTTTCATCTCTGGGGAGGGTGCCGGTACCCCGGAGCCGGGCAGGTCCCAGGCTCTGGAGTCAAACCTGTCCAGAAAGCCCAGAGGTGCCAGCTGCTGAGCGAGGGCCTGGTCCCCCAGGGCAATGGCCACGCTGGAGCTGCTGCGGGGAAGCTCAGGCGAGGCCTGTTTCAAATAGCCCTTGGCAGCGACGGGCTCAGAGCCCATGTCTGGGGTCCCATCCACCTTGCCAGCGCTCCAGGCAGGCGCAGCACTGTCCAGGATCAGCCGCCCCTCCACCTGGCCCTTGGACTGCTGCAGGTACCCCCGGAACGGCACGTGCTCCCCCTCCTCCACGCTGGCAGCGGGGGCAAGGCCCTGTGTCCCGGGGCACGGCACGGCCCCTTCCTCCACCAGCTCGTAGTCCTTCTGGCTGGGGGGGCACTTTGCCAGGCTTATGCCACTGTTATCGCCCTGTGGCAGCTGCCTCTGGTAGCCCTGGCTCTCCGAGCCGGGCGGCTGGCTCAGGTCGGATGAGGAGATTTGCAAGCAGATGCCGCTATCGGTGCTGCTGCAGCTGCTGTCGCCCGCGGGCAGGGCGCTACACTGCAGCAGGCACTCTTGGTCTCCGTGCACCATGCAGTCCTCGTCTAGCACCGGCAGTGCCATCTCGGAGCCGCTGTCGAGGCGGGCACGCTGCGCGGTGTCCTTGGGGCACATGGACAGGGACCGGACAGAGCTGATGTCCATGCCCCCGCCAGAGAAGTGCTCCTGCTCTACCCACAGGGTGCTCTGCTTGATGAGGGATTTCTGCGAGGGCAGGGAAAAGCGGGGAGACGAGTTAGCCTTCTTGTGCTCCTTGCCCCCATCCTCTGCCCCCCAGGAATCCCTTGGCTTTTGCTCCAGCCCTCCCTGCCACCGCCCCAACCCTGGCATGGCCAGCTGGGCATGGCATGCAGCTCATGGAGCCACGGGGCCAGTTTCTGTCGCCACGTCTCTTCGGTAGGTGCTGGGCACCGAGCCTGCCCACGGCCTAGAGCAGGGGGCGAGGCGTGCCCAGGGCCAGGCGTGCCCGGGACCTTGCTGGCAGCTGAGGCCTGAGACTGCTCCCAAGACAGGGTGGGATGGGGGGACCCAGACCTGCAAAGGGCCCCAGTCACAGCCATGAGGTCCAGCTCGTGTCTGCTGACTTACCAACACAGCCGGCGTCCTCATGGGCCTCCTTATGTACATGCAGATGA